GAACGTATAAGTTATAACACAAATGCACAATCGTCAGCTACAACAGAGTGCATAACGACCTTTTTGGTTTTATAAATATTAAAAATTTTTATACAAGTTAATAAAACAAATTTTATAGTACTTTAAAACGATGTACTACAAATCCCACCATATATAATATATTTAAGATATCAAATTGGAATGCTAGAGCACTGAACTACATTTTACAAAAATATAGTTTAAATAATTATGCTATGGTTTTATTGTAATAATAAACTTTCCCTATATTATTTATAATTTATAATTTAGAGATTCACATATAATCGTTTATAAAAGCGTTTATTTGAAAATTATTATATTACATTCCTCAATCCTAATAAAATCTGTCCCCACTATGATGTGACCCCAATGTTCTGCTTTTCTTGTTATAATGTGGTTTCTAGGTGATGGTGAACACAGGATGACTTACATGGAATTTACGAAGGCTGCATCTGAAGGCCGCATACAAATATATGCTCTACATAGATGATGTTATAATTATCATATTATATTAGCCTTATTTTTGAGTCTTGTAGTTTTAAAAGCATTAGATAATATAAAATGATAGGTACTTAATAACAAAATTGTTTAACATTTTTGAAAATTATTTAATGTGTTGTTACATAATATTATTTAAGAAATTTGTAGTTTTACAGTATTATGTTTCTAATTTACATTATTATATTTTTAATTTCAATCTAAACAAACCAGTAATCGATATCAAACGATTATCAAATCAATCAATAATTAAGTGTACTTGTATTTGCCAATTAGTACAGACTATACAATTGTATTATTTCACTTTATTGTTGTAATATTTTATTATTAGCAATTTGAATGTACATTTCAAGTCAGGTAACAAAATATATGGTCATGTAGGATTCCCATTTAATTAAAAAATAATGTATCCGTTTTACCTCTTCAACAAAATACAAATAATTATACCTAATATAATATATATATATATATTATACTATATTATATTATATTAAATATATGTATATAAATATTTTTTTTTTCATTTTTTTTGTAAACAAACATGTAAATTTGTTGGCAAAAAAAAATAATCTATGTTAAAAATATTATACTGAAAATATTATTAATCCAAGCTTTCGTGAAATTATTGAAACTGAAACATATCACACTTTTCATTTTGGGCTTTGTTCTAAAACATTTAAAAAAATGTTTGTATTTTATTTTTATATTATTTAAAGTAATTTACACAAAATATTTGTTATATTTAGCTTCGATGTGCAGCTGAAAAGGTATTGTTTTTATAATAATGTGTTTTTTTTTTGTACCTGTCCCCAGATTTCTTTTTAACCGCTGAACCGATTTCTTCGTGTAGCAAATCTACAGATTAGAAATCGTACCTGAAAGGAACTTTATTGGGGCAAAAGTATTAAATTCACCCCTTCCCCTTCAAAATCGAGAAAAGGCTTTAAAATTGTTGCTATTTTTTTTTTAATTTTAAATTACGGTGCTCAAAAACTTTTTTAAAAATAGTAGAATAAGTTCCAAATTTGTATGGAGTACCTATTCTTTAAAACCAAGTTCTACCGACAAACACTGAAAATCATAAACTATTATTTCTCTTTTTCAAGCAAAGTTTTAGGGAGTTAGGCCTGGGACTTAGATCCAGAGATCCCTAAAACTGAAAATGAATCCGTAAGCACAGAATTGTTAGTAGGTACACTGCTTTTATCGATATTTTAGTTTTTATCTGTGATTATTGGACCTTCCTTACTTACTCACTTCAACTACTATTGCTACTATTTACTAACCGGTGCCCCCTTCCCCCTCACCTAGATCCGTCTTTGAGGAAAGGTAGAGAAGTGCCAAATTAAAGGGGCCTCACTTCAATTACACGCTCTATACAAATACGAACCATAATCTATATTTCTTTTTTTGTGAAACTTTTTTAAAAATCAATATATTTACATAGGTAACAAACTGTAGAAAATATTTTATAAAATAACAAAAACATGTAACAGTGAAGAGTACTGGACGGGCAAGACTAGACTTCTCTTACTGGCTTTGCGTTTTATGATATGTAAGGATGCAAGTTGTAAGTATTCCAACGGCATATTATTTAAAATTTTCCTTATTGTCTAATAATACAACACAAAATGTATATTGTTAGATAAGGCTGTTCTGTTCTGTTTTTGGGAAAATAAACTATATAGTCGATCAAGTATGGAGAGGTAGAATGTCAGACGATTTCTTAAGTTTATAGGACTTGTTATATAAATTAGGGTAATTAGAAAATAAATATAAAAAAACACAGATGTTTTTTAGTACGCTTTTTGTAGTTTTTTCACTTTTTAACTATTAAACTTATTTATTTCAAACTTTTAATGAAGTTTATAGCTGTTTAAATTATTATATTACTACCAATGGGCGCATTTTGATGGGGCTTGGCACCCTTACTTTTGAAACTAACACCCCCAAACATTTTTTACATCAATTTACATGCGATGAGAGCTTTAGAATAGTTTCGGTATACAAGCCTATTTTGTAAGCAAAATTGCGCCTTAGGTGTAACTGCTTGTTCTTAACGAATAAAAATTGTTAAAAAATGTAAAAAAAATTCCCATAACAATTCTTCAGTTTAAAACTGAATTATTACAATTAGCTGACTTAATACCAAATAATAGTTAGCCTTTTTTTTTTGTCATGCTATTTTAAACGTTTTTGTTTTTAATACTTCAGTTCCTCGAATAAGTTAAAACTTTTTGTTTAGGTAATTTATCAATTATTAATTTGATCGTTTACACGAATTAAAACAATTCACTTATAAAATACTTATTTAAGGTGCATGCAATTAAATATTGGTATTAAATATTTAATTTAGCTTATTTTTCGTGCACAAAATATTAAACTTACATTTTTCGTTTATATTATGATTGTCAAGACGTGTAGATGCTGATCGAGTCGAATGAATGTTTGTGTTTGGCTAATTAATCTGTTGGCATAAAATATAGGTCTAAATGAAGGCCCGGTTAGGGGTCAATTGGACATCGGTACCGGCGTTCCAGCTGGTGTACTACGAATAACAAAACCGCGCTAAACTCTTATACATAATATTAACAAAAACTTAACATTCTACAAATCCGAAATAATTCGCCATAAATCTACAAGATTAAAAAACAAAATTATAACCATAAAACATATAGAAAAAGTAAACGCCAAAGCGAACAAGACGTCTACGTCTACCATAATGACTATATTACTGCAGCCTACCGGCAGACAAACCGAGTACAATACTACAATGGCTATTACAAAAGTACAATTAGAATTTTAAACACTTGTAACATCAATACCCGCCGGCCAATGAGAGCACACAATCCGACCGGCTGGCTATAACCTGCGCAGACTCAGCTGTGCCCTCGCCCCCGCCGCGCCGGGCAAAAATACATCCCATAAGGGTGGTGACCCGGCCGCCGAATGATGCGTGCCGGCGCCGGATAAGGCGATTGCCATTAAAAGCCCAAAACCGAGCGTGTACCAACATTATCTAAAGTCTAATACAAATATACAAGAGCAAATAGCAGCGCCGGGGTTATTTTTCAGGCCGTGGGCAGGGGAGAGGGGGCTTAGAGCCAACTTTGTATTTCCCTTGGGCCTGGGGCAAAAGCTAAAAGCTGTAGTCGACTTGGTTCCAAAGGCGTGTTCAAGATTGTTCAGCCTTAGGTATACGTATAATATATTATGTATATACATGCGTAAAATTGTTGCAATGTGTTAAAATTATACATAGGAACAAACATTCAGAAATTATACCACATGGAAAGTTTTCAAATTTGTTCGTCACGGTTAATATAATTCTACAACTGTACTTGCTTTATATTAATACAAAATAGTTTGTTTATAATTAGTACATTGATATGTGCATTACATACAGCGACAATAATAATATGTAATACATGTTATATAAATAAAAGGGCGGGCTATTTCAAACAAAAAAAAAAGCCTGATTCTCTTGAAATTTATTATGGCTAATATTTGTATAGTGTTAAATATTGAAAGATCCATGCTAAGTAAATAATTTAGATAATATTTATACAATAAAGATAATTAAATTAACTAAATACCCAAAGTAGTATCGTTCTTTTTTTTTAACTAAAACTTCTAGTTTTAAAAAAGTAATAATTTTGTGTAATAAGTTATGTTTTTTTAAAATTTAAAATTATATCAATGAATATGTTATCTATAAGAATAATATCTCTATAACACCTCAAGATATTGGTTCTATTTATTAAGTATATTAATAGACATTTGTGACCACAATGAGTGCAAATATAGGTTTGTTGATTTTACAAGTTGAATGCAGTAACAGTTTAATTCCATCGGCTGAAAAGTGTTAATACCAACAGAAACGGAATAGCTAATCTTTCTTTATAATTTTCTTGATCAATATTTCAAATTCAAATCTGTTATAATGAACTTATTTGGTAAATACATTATTTAGACTAGTAAATAGCAACTATCTTATGTGACTAAGTTTGTAGTAATAGGTAATGGTCAATAAACTTTTTTTTAAGCCTATCATAATCATTATAGCAGGTTGTATTTAAATGTCGGAAAGAAATGGAAATAAGATAAGTTAAGTGGAAAGTTATTTTACTATTTCATTGCGCTAATATTCAGACAGATGAACTGTGTCGTCTGCTGATTAACACAGGTGATTTATTTTAATTCAAGGTAAAATTTGATATACAGTATAACTACATTAAGTTAATAACATTGTTATTACCTAACTTATCATATGATAAATTCGATGAAACTTAGCAGATTTACGTAAAATAAAAGTAAAAGAACTTGTATTTTGCAATAATTTTTGTCACAATTATTGACAATAGCCATAAAATAAACAAATTAAATGAGAGATTAAAAAATCTATACTTAGTTCAGCACAGTCAGAAGGTCTATTTAAAAATAATATTTCACAATACAAGTTTCATCAGTCACCTATGTCGCATACATATTATTTTAAAACATAAGTTTCACTAAATACTTTTTTATTACAAAACGCTCGTCTAGTTTTATGAAAAAAAACGTACAAAGTGGACTTGTCCTTAATTACTTTTAATCACTTATTTACACAAAATAATTAATCAAAAACTGACTGTTATTGTCTATTTATATAGGACTGAAGAGGCCTAGCGACTGTGACAAAAGAGAATTTATTAAGGCGCATTGTATAGGCAATTTTTCACTAAAACTTTACATTAAGAGTAAGTTGAACTATTTATTAAGGAGTTAGGTATAGGCATTATTTTTGCAAAATATTTTTTTAAAGGTTAAACTGAGATGTGTAATTATTAGTTTAGTATTTTAAAAAAGTGTTTATAAATATTTAATATTAGGTTTCTCAAAAAAAGGATAAGACATTGTCTCCAAAATCTTGTCATCTTTCATTTATATTATAAATATTTTTGCTCTAAAATGAACACAGAGTGAGTAGAACACGTTCTGTGTAAGCATGTTTTAACACTAGCAAATTGAGTGTATAATATCCACTTAAGCTAAAATTTGTTAACATACATTAATGCAGTAAAGAGAGGTCTATTTTTGTACAAAAATATATTTTTTTATTTACAACAATCCAAGTTCTCATTTTATCCAATTTCTTCAATTTTGTAAATGTTTAGGATTCCTCATCATTTCTTCTATGGTTTGACGTATCGCCTACTTTTTCTTAATATTTATTTTCATTATAAAATAGTTTATGTTAACATTTTTTTTTCAAACTATCCTAAAATGTTGGAAAATAATAACAGCTTTAAGCCGATACGTCAAACCACAGAAGAGATGATGAGGAATTAAAATCGGATAAAATAGAAATGCCAAGGGACGCCTTATTTTATCACAGTCGGCAGGCTTCTTAAATTAACATACTCAAGTCACGAGCTGACATACAAATATAAAAAAACTTGTGTGTAGTTCCAGGGCAGAGGTCCAATTTCTCATCCGGCTCTTATAATTCTGTCTTCTAAGATATTATCGCTGACGTCATGCCTTCACCACTGTACCTATTAAATTTAAGTAAAAGTAAGTACCATTATAGATAATTCAAATTATAAATAAGGATTAACCCTTTACTGCCTGATCAGACTTTTGAGTTAGCTGCCAAATCTCCAAAAAAAAATGTCAGATATAAGATCATTATTTCTGAGGCCAACTCAAAAGTCCCGTCCGATAGGAAATGGTTAAGTTTACTAGTAATGTGATATACCCAGCACATGGTTTACACATGGTGTGGAAGAAGTCTTTAAAAAAATTGCTGATCATTGGCATTTATTCATTTTGCTTTTGTATGCACAACGAAATTGTGTAAGCCAACTCCTGAAACAAGTAATATCAAATTAATAACCTCAATTATTGAATTACTGATGTCAAAATGAAACACAAATGAACAATATAAACATTTTCTTCTTAAGAGGATTGCATGCGGTCTGTTTTTAAGGAGTTTTGTATAGGTAATATTTAAGAAAAAATATTTTCAATAAATTTCGACCATGTCAATTAATTTACCGGTTAATTTGTATACGCTTCAAGGTATTATTTTTAATTTAAATAATTGTTTTTATGAGTAAAAGCCATTTTGGTTGACTTTCTACCAAAAAGCCAGACAAAATTTCAACTACATAGAATGGTCCAATTTCAATTCTATAAAGAGATTCGAGTTCTTTGGCTAATTTACTATGTTATGTTGGAAGCTGATTTTCATTTAAAAATGTCAGTTTCTTGTTATTAAATAAATTTTACTTGCAATTTTCTTCGATATTAAAACCCAATTTTTTTACATAAAAAAATCAAAAATCTGTAACCTAGTAAAATTGCCAAAGAACTAGTAAATCTTAACAGAATTAAAATTAGACCATCCTAAGTAATCAACATTTTGTCTGGATTTTTGGTCTGAAATGTCAACAAAACTGACCGAATGCAGCTCCCTTAACCTATAGAAATGATCAGAAATAGAATAAATAAATACAAGGCTGTAAAACATTTTTTAAATCACAACGGTTTACTATTTAAACTTATTTTTCTTATATCACATACTACTTTTATATTTTCCTTGCAGGACATACCTATTCAGTCGGTTTATAAAATTTAGTTTGTCGAGATTACGGATGCTTGCCAAAATGGTGCCCAAATAAATTAATTTATTTCTTTTGACAGTTGCCGCCCGCTGACCTACAATAACAAAATGGCCGAGAAAATAAACATTGACCATGCGCAAACTGCCACCTTTTCTTCTCAGTCAAGCTAACAGCCTAGAAATTAAACTAAATTAAAACGTTATACATTAATTTGTTTTAGTTTTTTATACTTGTGCCATATTAAATCAACAGCGCTGTAAATGTTCTGCTAGTCTTTATACTTCTAGCACTACATACCTACTAATATATCAAGAATATTAGTAATAGCAGTTCATGGTCGATTCCAACATTTCAAGCTGCTTTTTTACGGTATACCGCTTGTAGTTATACCGGCTAAACACTTTATAAGTAGCTTACGTGCTGCTTTTGTTTTACAACTCATTGTAACGGAATATACCTTTAACAAATATGTTAGACATAATGTGCTGTTTTATAAAATATGTATTTTTAAGTTATTTAATTAAAATATGCACCTAGCAGAATATGTATCTTACTGAAATAATGCCTCGACGTCGGGTTGTTCTTTTTTTTTTTTTTAATAAACATCTTGCAACTTCGATTAAAAGTTGATCAATTATAGTTAGAATTTAGTACTTATGGTTTAAGCTACATCATTCAGTCACAAATTACAACATAAATACATTTTATTATAGTTTGTTGGCATAGTCCGTTCTGTGATAAAACAAAACTGTTTATTAGACGGCGGCAGTTGATAATGTGGAGGTAGCTGGAGGGAAGCTGACCTCCATGTATAACACACTGATAACAGCCGTATGATAACTGATACAAAAAACATTAAAGAATAAATAGTTATTATATTACATAAATTCCCCTTGCTTTTTAATACTAACAAGTAACAACTGCAGTAACAATAATAATAGTATAAAATAAAAATTAAGGACCCCCAGAAGCCAAAATCGAGTTGGGTACACAGTTTGTTTTTTCACCAGCTGTAGACTTTGTATTGTACGAAGTCATTCAAATCAACAGATAATTTCGATCATTGTCGCTTGTTGATTTCGACAAGTGAGCCGTCGAGAGCAAAAGTAGTAAAGACACGTTTTCGCACAATTTGAAGTAATAATAATAATTCTACCTTCAATCTATTGCTTGCGAAGGCGATTCGAGTCCTGCTTCGCTTTTTTTCCGCTAGATAGCAGTACATATTTTACGTTCTCGCAAAACTATAATATTATACACCATTTTTCTGCTGAATTGTTGAATCAGAAATTGTATCACAAAGGTACTTTATTGGGCAAACCATTCAAAAAGTTCACCTCATCCTCAAAACATTTTACTGATATAGATAGACTAAAAATACCCTAATACTAAAATTACAATTTTAAACACACATCTGCATTAACATTGCAAAAAACTTGACCGTGCTGAGCACCTTAGTTTTGAAATTAGCGCACTCAAAATTGTTTGTGTTTCATACCGAAAGTAGTAAAAATATTTTTGTAATATTTCCAGTGCTTAAACCCTATTATTTAGATAAATTGCGCCAGCAGTGCATTCAATTCTCTAACTGTATCTGTTACTATAAATAAACTTACTAGAATTATTGGAAAATTTAATTCAAATCCAAAGCCTTGGTTAGCTGAACTTTCCGACCCTAAAGAAGTCCATTGAGTTCTTAAAAAGAAGTCTAAACTCAAAAGTGTGTCGTTGTGGAATCGTGTGGAGATATCATCGGATCTAACAGGTCAGTGGTTATGGAACTTAAGTCTTACATCAAAGAAATCTATGTGTGAAAAAGGTTGTTGGTTTGTTGAATTTGTCAAAAAATACAAACTAGCAGCCCTTATTTGTAAATCTTTTAAAGGTTATTATCAAAATGTAAGAGGATTAGGAACTATATTATCTCAACTTAAATGTAATGTAGGTAGGTACCCTGTTTTGATTACGATTATTTAATCTTCATGGAATCTTGGTTGTATGGTATTAACGATTCTGAACTTTGTTTGGGAAATTACCTAATATTTAAATCGGATAGGAATAGTACTACAAGTGAACACAGTAGAAGCGGCGGCGGTGTTATGATACGTGTAAATAAAAAGTATAGTGTTAAACAAACATACCTAGCAAGAATGTAGTACAGGTTTCTGTATTGATAAAATCGTTTTGTTTACTTACCTTCAGTTAGTTCTTTAGACACCATATTCACCATGATGAGACGATGGAATGGGTACTGTCTAACCTGGGCGTATATGTTGACATTTAACTGGCAGGTACCTAATTACAATTTACTAAACGTTCGCGTTTCTAGTGAGTAGTGACTCGTTTGGATTATTAGTTGACGGTCTAATATATTATTGTAGGTAATTTCGCCAAATTTATTATTTTTCAGTTTAATTTAATTAGTAACTTTTCTGGTTCTATTTTGGATCTTGTTTTTTTCTATTTTATGGAATAATAATATTTTTTATGAAATAGTTTTGCATGTAGTGGATTTATTTATTGCAAAATGTACTTACCACTCAAGCAGTTTTCCTTTCTGGTTTACTCCTGTACTTAAAAAACAAATCGGAAAAAAGAGAGAAATGCACAAACAATATAAATAAACTGGTAATATTTTATTTTATAATAAATTTGTGAACATTCGACGTACATAATATAAACTATTGTCTAAGCAAGTATTTGTCTAATGGTCAGAAAAAATATACTGAATCCGCGTTTATTTTGGATATACATGAATGATAGGAAAAATGTTAATAAATTACCTTCTTCTATGCGTTTTAATGACAGTTGTTGAATGAATCGTCCAATTTATTTGCAAATTACCTTGCAACAGTGTTTTCGAATAATACAGTAGGTACCCTTTGATAACATGCCATTCTTCTCTTAATGTTTGAAAAATAGCCTTGTAATTTGTACTAAGAAATTTGCAAAAAATGTCATTCTATCGTGTACCATCACCAAAACCTTATTTCTTCCAATTACAATATAAATGATAATATCGTACAATCGGTAACATTACTGAAAGACTTGGGCGTACATTTGTCATCAGATTTGTCACTTAACTACCGGTACATTCAAGATATTAAGTTAAGAGCGCTAAAATGTATAGGTTTTATCAGGCGAAATTGCTTTGAGCTCAAAAATTTAACTTGTTTTAGAATTCTTTTCGAAACTTAAGTACATCAATTTTGGATAACGGTTCATTGTTGTGGAACCCCTAGCACAAAAGTTTAACAGACGACCTAGAGCGTGTCCAGAACTCCTCTTTAAGATTAATATCTTATAAATTTAGTATGTATAATTACGACGGTAGTGTATTATTAACAAGGTTAAATTTAGATTCTCTCCAACACAGACGGGAAGTCAATGATGCTAGTTGTATGTATAAGCTATTCTTAACAACATAATAGACTGTGTCCGGAGCTTCTTAATTTAATTCATTTACATGTTCCTAACTATAATGTCCGTAATCATACACTTTTTAATATTCAGCAACACCGTCAACTCTATAGCTACTGTGAACCGATGAACCGCATGCTTCCGACGTGTGATACATTATCATTTTTCGATTTTTTTTTAATGATTTACTTTCCAATTTGTAACTCGGTTCTTATTAATTAGTTTTAGTATGATTATTTTGTTATTCGTCCTCTATTTGCTTAATTATTTTGTACTTTGTACTTTTTTTGTGTATATCGTTTGTGTATTGTTTTCGTCGTGTTATCTTTATTTAGTAGTAATCCATGGATTTTGTCTGTTTGTAAAATGTGTACTCTATTGCCGTAAGGGCGTTATAATAAATATTTATTAAATCACAAATAAATAATTACAAATATATTTTTTAAAACAATTTTTAAGTCCCGACTTGGCAAACGTTTTTTTTTTAAAGGCCTTATTTTTTTTTAATGGACTATAAAATATAAATCCACCCTGGCTTAAACAGCAAGCAAGTACATTGTTTTAGCTAAATAACCTGTTACGTATTAAGTTATACATCCCATTCCTCAAAATCGATTGCAAAAGCCATAATCTAATGATAATCTAATAGCACAGAATAACCAAAAGAGAAACTATTCTGAATTTACACGGGTTCTTATGGGCACAAATTTGCTACATCTGTATGAGAATCAGGGTAGACAATACGAAGATAATTACCATTTTTTTTCTTATTTCAGGCGACACTGTTCATTTCCTAACCGCAGAAACGTCTGACCTCTGTTTCGGCAGCAATGAATAATTTGTAATAATGGTTTATTTCTAGCTACACTGATGCTCTCAACAGTTTTACAGATTTCTGTTTGACGTTTGTCTCTTCTGGTTATTCTGTGCTAACAGTCAGAACCCCTAGCCTGATGGGGCACCGAATAATAAAAATTTTAAAGCTTTTTTTTGTTTGTTTTTTTAAAGGGCTCACATACTCTGAGTTCCCAAGGTCCCTACATAGCCCAAGACGGCCGTACTAAGATTGTTCACGGCCATATTAAACATGAAAACCAAAAATATTTTCTACATAGATAGCGTGATAGCGTATGTTTGTAGCTTTTTAGGCGATCGTCGTGAATTACGCCGCCCAAAAACTGGTTTTGTATTTTTAGAAGAAGATAACAATAGTACTTAATTGGCAATAATAATAGGTTAAAGGTAGTCCGTATAGTAGTAGCCAGTGGGCCGTCGTCCGTCGTCGACACACGATGTTGTTCTCAACGCGCTTACAAGAATCTGAGCATATTATTACTTAACTTATATTTACTTTTCGCTTTATTTTGGGTCTTTATATTTTATAAATAGTAAAAGTAGAAATAAAATTTGTAAAGAAAATTATTTTACAGGATGATTCAATTAACTTTGAACCAATCAATATCTTTAAAGATATTATAATTTTTTTTTATAATTCTTTTTCATAATTTCACAGTTATTAGTTAGCCCAAATTTTATAAATTTATCAACTATAAATCCCCATCTGGGCTGTAATAGTTTGTGTTCATATTAGGTAGGTACGCAACACTAGCCAAGTGTGAATGAAGTTTAAAGAAACATGTAAAACATGTATTTTAATCCCTATTTTAGCATATAAAAATTAAATACTACATTTTTAATCAAATTTTATACGAATCACAATATAAATATTGTCCTATTTTTTATATACTTATTTACATTTAATTTTATTTAATTAAAGATTCCGAAGAGTTTACAATGAACTACTAAGATAATAAAACTTAAATGATCAAAACGTGTGACTAGTGATTTTTAATTTTAAACGGTTTGTTAAGACGAAAATACAAAATCAATAAATATGCCAGTAGGCTTTTTTAAATTACTATTTTCCGGCAACTCATTTGGTATTCTTAAGTTATACTAGGCTATTTATTAGAATATTAATTTAAAGAAAGTTGAAAAAAATACTACTGTTAAGAAATAAAGATGATAACTCACTAGTACTAGAATTTATTTCGACTATGTCGTTGTAAATGTGTTCAATAATTGGGGTTAAACGATTAAACTCATTATCAGATTCACAATAAGAAATGACTGTAGCAAAACCGTATTTCCCATTAGGCAAGATAAGCATGAACTATGGCCTCCAAATATACAATTTATAGCAAATATTTTATTGTGACATATTTTTAGGAAAAAAATTATTAAAAATATTCAAGTTGCAGTTTTCAGTTTATTGTATACCAAACAATAAAATACAAATTCA